CTTGAGGCTGTGGTGTAGTGGTTAGGTGTGCTGGGATGAAGGTTGGACTAGATGATCTTCAGAGGTCCCTTCCAACTCCGAACATTCTGTGATTCTGTGATTCTGTGACAAGAGGAAATGGCCTCAAGTTGCACCAGTGGAGGTTTAGATTAGATATTAGGAAAAATTTCTTGACTGTAAGAGTGGTGAGGCACTGGTACAGGCCGCCCAGGGCAGGGGTGGAGTCACCATCCCTGGAGGGGTTCAAAAAATGTGTAGATTCGGCACTTGAAAACACGGTTTAGTGGTTGTGGTGGCATGGGTAGATGGTTGAACTGGATGATCTTAGAGGTCTTTTCCAACCTTAATGATGCTATGATTCTGTGATTAATTCCTGGGATGGACTCCAGCCAGAAAGCAGCCAGCAAAAACTCTCCTGCGGACATAAATTTAGGCACAATCTTCTTCATCAGGCACCAGAGGGAGGGGGATGGTTGACCTTATGGACCTGCAGCACATGAGCCCTGAGGGAATGGTGGGGGCTGTATCTCCCTGCTCAACCCATGGGCAGGTAGGGGTGCACGATGGGGGGCTTACCTTGCAGCTCTGGCAGCAGTCCCCGTGCGCACATTGGGCTCCCGCCTTCAGTGTGCAGTTGTGTGCGTTGCAGCAGGGGTTGGTGCACTCCTATATGGAGAGAAGAAGACAACACCACGGTGAGTGAGTCCATCCCTTCCCCATTGCTGCACCCAGCCTCTTCTCCACCCATCACAGCACCGCACTTTTCATTTTGCCAGTGGGCAAACTGAGGCATGGGGGCGATGAGGAATACATGATCGCTCAAGGACGAAGTCAAGAAGAAAGCCAGGACAAGACTAAATGGATTTAGGGAGGTGGGACTGGGAGGAGCCTTTGGGATGGAGTCCCTGTGGTGACCAGCGATTTCCCTTGGAAATACCTCTCTCCACATCATCCACGTCCTGCCACCCAGCAGCTGAGCTGCAAAAGCGATGTAACACCCAGCACCGTACCTCCACTTCCCCACAGTCGCAGTCTTCTCCTTCCTCCAGAAAGCCGTTGCCACATTTCCGTCCCACCACCAGGTCCTTGGTGTCAGGCAGGTTGAAGAGACACATGCCACCTCCCTTCTGGAAGTAGTTCTCCAGCTGCCTCTTGCTGCAGGAGCTGAACACGCGAGGGAAGGGGTGTCTGCGCAGGAGACAGATAGGGAGGGATAGGAATCGGGGCGATCAGAACCAGGAGAAGGTGGAAAAGCACAGTCAGAGCCGGGAAATAAGGACATGGGCAAACTGGCACAAACCCTTCTAAGATCAGAAATCAGGATTGGCCGGATACATCACGACAACCAACGTCTCCCACCCCAACTTTCATGGCTGAGCACCAAGCTAACAACTAGGGGCACCACACCGAGCCCAAATATTCTCAAGAACGGGATGAGGTGGACAAGTCATACCCACCCCAAGAGCCCTCCAGCAAGAAGCCCCTTGGAGACTGGAGACCCCCATGGTCTGAACACCAAAGCCCAGGGAGCACCCACGCCTGCAGGCTCTGCCAGCTCAGCGCTGGTGTAGATGTCACATCCGTGCCTCACTCTTCTGCACCTGGGCCACCACAGACCCACCCCGTCCTAACCACAAGGCGAGACTCCACATCCGCAGTGACTATCTGCTCAGGATGTCTGCTAAATTTGTGCCTGCTGTGGCTGAACCG